TTTTTTATTTTTTATTTTCTTATACTAATATTATAATACATTTTTCATGTAGTATTTATATTGTTTATTATATTGTATATTTTAGTTATTGTTTATTTTATTTTGAATGATAATATTACGATAGATGTTCAATGTAATATTTTTATTTTATATTTTTATTAATTGATTACTTATTTACTATACATTTTAGTTTGATGTTTAATTTAGTTTTCCCTTTCTTATATTTTATATTTACTATATTTTCTTTTTCTAATTTTTTTTGTTGGTATATCAAATGATAATATTAGATAAATGTTTACTGTAATATTTCTATTTCTTATATTCAATTTTTAATTATAAAACATTTGGAAATAATAAAAATGTAAAAGTATACACTTTTCACATAGATGTTTAATGTAGTTTTTTTATTTCTTATATTTACTTATTATTTATTGCTTCTTACATTAAATATTTACTTATTCTAATTTTATTGCTTTTATATGCAATGGTAATATTATGGTAGATGCTTAATGTAATATTTTTATATTTAAAATTGTATATATATTTTTTCAGATAGATGGTTAATGTAGTTTTCCTTTTTTATGTTGTATATTTAATTATTCGATTTTTTTTGTTATATCAAATGATAATATTATGATAAATATTTAATATATATTTCTATCATTTATTACTTATTCTTTCTTTTTTGTTTTGAACATTTTACTTATAAAAATATTTGGAAATAATAAAAACTTAAAAGTATACATTTTATATTGTGTATTTAATTATTATTTATTTTACTACACATATTATTTATTAACTTATTTGAATATTAAGATACATGTTTAATGTAATATTTCTGTTCTGATATTATATATTTACTTTTTCCTTATTTTTCGCAGATTGTATATTTACTTATTACTTTTTATTTTAACGTTGTATTTTGTTATTAAGCCATTTAGGCAAAGAGTTCTTAACAATGAAAACTAGCAAAACAAACATAGCAAACGGATACATCCTAGCGTACGGATAACTAAATTTTCATGTAAAAGCTCTAAATTTGCTTCTAGAATAGTTGAATCCCAAAAGAGATAATCTTCGTCTTAATCCAGAAACACCACGTTTCAGACTTAGTTGAGATTGATTGCTACTCTCTTTTTATTACTCCAGTAGGAGCCAATGAGAGAAGACAACTCTTTATATTGCTCTGATAATAACAGAGTCAAAGAGATTACCGTTCCATAGAATTTTCTGTTGACTTTCGAAGTAGCCATAGTTTGCAGAAAGAACTCCATAACCATCAAGTGAAGAACCATCAACGATTGAAGCCGGTAAGACCAGTCGCCACCATCCGCAGTAGATCTGTCAATTACTTTTTCTAAATGATTCAACTGAACCGAAGTTATTGTTTTCCCAAATCCATTAGAAAAATCATACAAAAGAACAATTCAAAACTTTGCTAGATTTAAAATAATTTGGCAAACAAACAAATCAAATAACCAGAAAGAAAGCAAATCAAAGAGATAAAAGCAAAACAAATTAAACAAGTCGATGTTGGAGCTATAGAAGCCTCAGGCCATCGGCTTGAAACTATTTTTTTTTACTCTTGTGACAGCTCATATTTACTTATTACTTAAAGATGGGTTACATGAAAGAATATCTTTGAGTCGATGTGGGAACCGAAATCCACCTACTGTCAATAAATCGTAAAAAAGGAAACTTCGGGAAAATCCTAAGTTTCTAGAGGAACCGGCTATCTGCAGAACCGCACAACGAAGATTAAGAAAACGATAAACTTAGAATTTAAATGAAAATAAACGAAACTGAGAGAAAAGAGGTTCTTATTCCGAATCTGCGTAAGAACTGGTACAAAAAGAGTAGCCGAAAAGTCTAAGAACGAAAAACCTAGTTGAGACGCAGCTCGCTAACAGAAAACGGAAATATTCCTAAATGCTAATTTTGGTGGTGAAAGCTTTGAAAAGTCGTGTCCCAGCTTCTGCCCTATGCCTCCTGCTTATATACTCCTTCTTAGGCGGTTTTAGTCTTTCCATTTCGCCTGAAACTGAATATATCGGGAATTTTCCATTTCTGTCGATCCTTCCTTTTCTTCCGCGGAAATCTTCTATTTATCTTCAAACTTGCCTTTTGTCTTCTGTGTGCGAGTAAACCATCAAAACGTTATCGTATCTTCGGGTTTGATTTCGTTAATATAGCGAGATGGGTTTTTATAGTGTTTTAGGATCTTTCGGGCCGTTTTACGATAAAAACCGTTTTACGACTTTATACGAGACCGTTTCCTGATCCGATGCCGTTTTTACGATTTTCTCGACGTTTTTTATGATCTTAACGGAAAATCTCGGATAAATCGTATAGTTTAGGCGATGTTCGGTGTCTTGCTTAACCGTTATCGTTTTATACGATTTCTTCGAGTTCTTTTCGAGAAAGCGGAGTTTTACGGTTTTTATCGTAGAATTCGAATGATAAGTCGGATCGAGACGAAACGAGAGACATTTCGGCCGTGGTTCAGAATGCGACCGTGTCGAAGGACGTAAGGTTCAAATCGGGGATGCGGGAGATCCGGGAAATCTCTAGTTCGCCAGCAGGCGAACTAGTCGGGGAGTTCCTAGTTCGCCTGCTGGCGAACTAAGGCAGCTTGGCTTAGTTCGCCAGCAGGCGAACAATTTGGAAGCTTCTAGTTCGCCTGCTGGCGAACTAAGCCAATCTGGCTTAGTTCGCCAGCAGACAAACTAGTTGGGAGCCTTCTAGTTCGCCTGCTGGCGAACTAAGCCAGCTTGGCTTAGTTTGCCAGCAGGCGAACTAGTCGGGGAGCCTCTAGTTCGCCTGCTGGCGAACTAAGCCAGCTCGGCTTAGTTCGCCAGCAGGTGAACTAGTCGTGACTAGTTCACGTTTTGCGGCGGTTTCGGTTTTTCACGGTTTTGTAAAACGATTTCTCGAATTTTATAAAATGATTCTCGAGTTTTATAAAACGATTCTTGAGTTTTATAAAACGATCTTCGAGTTTTATAAAACGATCTTCGAGTTTTAGAAAATGACTTCTCAAGTTTTATAAAACGATCTTCGAGTTTTATAAAACGATTCTCGAGTTTTATAAAACGACTTGTCGAGTTTTATAAAACGATCTTCAAGTTTTATAAAACGATCTTCGAATTTTATAAAACGACTTCTCGAGTTTGATAAAACGATCTTCGAGTGTTATAAAACGATCTTTGAGTTTTATAAAACGACTTCTCGAGTTTTATAAAACGATCTTCGAGTTTTATAAAAAGATCTTCGAGTTTTATAAAACGACTTCTCGGGTTTTATAAAACGACTTCTCGGGTTTTATAAAACGATCTTTGAGTTTTATAAAACGACTCTTCGAGTTTTATAAAACGATATTCGAGTTTTATAAAATGATTCTCGAGTTTTATAAAAAGACTTCTCGAGTTTTATAAAACGATCTTCGAGTTTTATAAAACGATCTTTGAGTTTTATAAAACGATCTTTGAGTTTTATAAAACGACTTCTCGAGTTTATTCTACAATAAGGTCAACGTATTGTAAAACATGTCTGTCCTTGCACTCAATGTAGATGTTCATATTATAAATATGAGTTGACTGATCGAGAGAGAAGTTATATTAAATCGTCAACCATTGAATGTTTTACCTTCAAGTGTGAAATAACTGCAGCGATAGCTCTACCTGGGGCTTGTAAAGCTTTATTGTGAGTTTGTCAACAATTTTACAAACCGTTACTTGAATTCTAACTACTGAGCCATAGAGTATAGTAGTTACAAAAACATGGACTTATAATCCCTTAATGTAAAGGAGGGAGCCAACTTTGGCGAGAAGTGCAACAGGGTCTGATTCGGTAGAAACTTGAGATATCAAATCCTTCAAGTACAAAGGAAAATCGTCAAGAGAAGAGAGAAGGGGTGAGATTAAATATGTATGTTGAAACAACGATAAAGTGTTACTTGACCCACCACAATCTATGCTTATAAACTCTGCAAGAACATAGTCATTCATCAAAACTACATCTATTTTTCACAATTGATGTTATAAAGACAAAAGCTTTGTGACTGCGCATCAAAAACATCAAGAAAATATAGAAAAAAACTCTTTGGAGCATTTTAACGAACAGTTGTGGGCAAAGAGTGTACCAGAAACTTGAGACAGAACATGAGGTACTAGTACTATGAAAAAACATGTTACAGCAAGTTGAGCTGAGCAAAGACCCATTGAAGATCACAGGAACATCGATGCTCTTAGATTTTCTGCTATGAATCTAAAAAAAGTTCAAAGCTTTATCTTATACCTTCTCCATCAGAATCAATGATGAAAAGGAGAAGTAACAATGATTACCTCACTACAAGAAATATGGGTTTTATTAGCGGACGTTAAACGCTATGAGAAAGCTACCATAGCGCTCCTTAAAACGCTCTGAGATCGCCCGTCATAATAGGTCCGACACTTTCGATAGCGAAACAGTCGTATGCTATATTAAAATAAACAACAATAGCGGTGTTGTCTATGCAATTGTTAATACTTATAATAACGATATACAAATGTTATTAATACTCATTAATTTGATGTTACCTATACAAAGATAGCAATGATTCATGTTATTAATTTATTTTAAATTATCAGAAAATTTATTAAAAAATTTTACGAATTGGTTTTATATTAAAAAAAATATTTATTTATTAAAATCAGTTTTACAAAACTAAACCTGACCAAAACCTAATCCTAATTTTACAAAACTAATTAAGCCAAACCAAAACTAAAACCTAATATTACAAAACTAAAACCAGTCATCTTCTTCTTCTCCAAGCCCAACCTCTACTCCTTCGGCTTCACCGATGTCTCCACTTCAGGCTTCACCATCGACCTGAAAGATATCTTCCGGCTCCACAGCTTCTCCTTCTCAGCGTCCTAATACACACAAGAAGAATCAAACACACACAGAAAAAAATTACTCAAGGCTTCTTCGAATCAGCAGCAGCAGAACCCAACAGCAACTTGGCTGATGAAACCAAAGCAACGCCTCAGTTCTCTATTTTTGAGTACATCTTGTACACAGCAGGAACCTCTGAGCCTTCCCTATTAATTAAGACACAAACACAGAATACACACGTATATAAGTTACTGCAGTTTAAGAGTCAAGAACAAAAGAAACAGAGATGGACTCTGATTCTTACTTAATCTCAGACAGAACATAAAACACTAACAGAGACAGATTCAAAACGAAATTCAAATCTTAATAAATCAGATTGATAATGAGAAACAAGTTGATAATCAGAAACAAAAACAATAGAAAAGAAGCGCAGAAACAGATCGCAACAAAAGCCAAACCCACAATTCTCAGATCAATCTCGAATTCAACCAAAGACAAGTATAAATCAAAACATGGGCAATACAGAACAGATTAAACAAATCAGACTTGTGAGAACAGAGAGAAATTTCGATCAGACTTGTGAGATCAGATTAAACACAGCAACCAAATCAGAGAACCACAACACAGATCTATCAGTTCTTAACATGCATATGAAGAGATATATAAATCGAAAATCAGATAGTTTAGAAAAAGAAGAAGAGTCCAAGCGAGACACGAAATTGATGCTTCAATGGTTGAGTCCCAGCGAGTCTCCGACGCGTCTTCTTCTCCGTCAAATCCCAGCGAGTCTCCGACTTCGTCATGTCCATAATCATCTTCTCCTTTCTCAATTGACCAGATCTAAAAGTGAGACACGAAATCGTTACAGAGATGGGAGAGAGAGTCGAGAAGATGAAAAGAAAAGAAAAAAGAAGAATGAATCTGGTCCATCTGCGGCAGAGAGAGAGGGGAGACGGGAAAACCAAAAATAAAAAGAACAAATCTTAACCTTTGATTTAACCTTAATCCAACGGCTGAGAAGATGATCCGTGTATATGCATCTAATTGGTTGAGAGAACTTTGTTTTTCCTTTTTATTTCTTCTGTCTTGTATTCTCATTATTTTATGATTTTTTTTGTTTCTCTATATTTTTAAACAACTTTTTTTAAATTTTTATATATTTTGTGGTTTATAATTCAGATTATAAGTTTTAAGATTTGAGATTATTGTTTGAAAACTTTGAGATTATTGTTATGATTAAGATTTGAGATTCTTGTTTGAAAATAATAATTTGATAGTTTGAATTAAGATTTGGATGTAGAGTTTAGGGTTTGAAGTGTAATGTTAAGGGTTAGTCAAGTGTTTGACTAAAAATTTAATGTTTGTATTTTGGATGTGAAAAAATAAAATTTTAGTTTAGAATTTAAAGTTTGAAGCATGATATAAGGTTTGGGATTAAGTTTTGTGGTTTAGGGTTTTAAACTCATCAAACTCCATATAGTAATATCTCACTAAATATATAAACCTCTAAAGAATTATATATACATATATCTTTTTTTTATAACAAAACTTTAATCTAAATTTAGTATTTGGATTTAAAATGTTCATTTTGAAATGTAATAAGTGTTGGATATTAGAGTTTTGGGCATGTTTAATATAAGGTTTAGAGTCAAGTTTTAGGGTTTAGGGTATAAACCCCTAAATTTTTATGTATTAATTTTTTTTTTTATCAAAACTCTAATTATATTTTTTTATCCTTTATTTGTTTTATCAAACAAATAAATTAAAATAAAAACTTTTGATCTATTTAAAATTCATTGAAACTTTGATTTTACATTTACAAATATAATAAATTATAAACTCTAATTATTATTTTAAACCATAGATTAACATTTGAGCTTAATACACTCCCAATATTCTTGGTTGAAACAATTCCAGTGGATGGACGTACTGCCATGTAGTTTTTGAATTGAGATTGAAGTATAAAGTTTTGTCTCAGATGGTTGGTTGCGACCTGTGCTCCACTTGTCTCTTTCAAACCTTCTTTGCTTTCTTTGATAACATGCTTCTGGTTTTTTTCCAACTGATCATACCCTCTTTGCTTGTACTCATCTCTGGATGATATGCTTTTCCTCTGCTGCTGTATGTCTTGTCTGAATTTTCTCAACTGATCTTTGAGATTTTATCTATGCTAGCCGTGAATGCTTCAAGAAACAGTTTATCATTTTTGCTGAGTTCTTCCTTGTGCTCCTTAGCCATTACATGAGACACAAAAGAAAACAAAAACCAGTAAGTTAGTAACTAGTTCCAAAAGAAACAAACACTCAAAGATAAACACAACACAATTTCATTGCATGATCTATAGGTTTTGATAAATACAACAAATGATCCAGATTATCAAAACGACAAACTGATAAATTCAAAAAACAACAAGCAAAAACAAACAAAACAGGTTGATGATCAGGAATAGTTTGATAATCAGGAACAGTTTGATAATCAAAAACAATTCACACAATGATCAATCAATCTTAAACCAAACATGACAAGATCAAAACGAAAATCAAACCCTGTATAATACAACAAATTGACCAGTAAGTGATCAACTTAGAGATAAGTGTATCAAGAATCATACAGTACTACAATAACTAATTTTAGTACCAAGACCATACAATAAAAAGGTATGAACTTTCTACCTCTCCAGTAGTGGAGTCTTTAAACGTAGACCAGCTGCGTGTTAAGACAGGAGAGGCCTTTGCAGTAATCTAATGAGCTCATATAGATTTAACAAAGTCATAAAGGAACCTAAATCTCAGAAGTAAAGACTTGAAAAAGTTTTAGGGAAATTGAGAGAGCTTGACCGGTGAGGTTCACGGCAAAGAGAGGCTCCTTTATTCATCTCTGGCGAGCTAAACCGTCGAAGCCTCCTCTCTCTGCTTATGAAGGACATCCGTCTTCCGCCTTGCCACCGGCGCTTCTCCGTTGTCACTCGCCATCCCTGACTCGAGTCAATCGTTGTCGATGAAGCTTTAATAATGACCGAGTGAGACAGATGGGGATAGAGAGAGAGAGGGTTGAATTGTAAGGGGTTGATTAGAGTCAAGCTCTGCGTGCAGATCTGAAGACTTGTGATTTTAGGTTTAACGATTCAAGGTAGATGGAGAAGATTGAAAAAAGATGGCCGAGTGATGGAGAAGATTGATCTCAGCCACAGGATCAAAAACGATCAATGGCCACAAATCATTGACCAATAAAGAGAAAGTAATAGGATTAAATAATTATGTGTTGTGTCAATTTACAATAGCGCTTAATTTTGAATCTGCAATGGTAAGGCGTCTACATTTCGCAAATTAACGCGCCTAAATTTTTTTATTTTCCCGCGATAACAAACATAGCGTTTAAATTTTATAAACGCTATTAGAAATGCCAGTGTTGGTATACAATAGCATAAATGTTAAAAACACTATACTATGATGCTATTAAAACCCTTATTTCTTGTAGTGCCTGCAGATTGACCTCCTCGTCTGTAAGAGAGCGCTCCATGGAACGGAACACAATTCTGTAACAGTGACTCGTCATCCCTTTCTTAGTGGTGAAACTGTCGATCAACTTCACTTGTGAAGAATATGATGATGACACAAGTAAAGTAAAGTTACGAAATAAATCGATTCCTGTAAAGTTAGCACTCTTTCCTAGTCAAATACCAATCAAAAGAAAAGTTATTTACCTCTTCAACAAGATTCCCAGCGATTCCTCTCACAACTTCACAAAAGTTATTCTCTCTGACTGATTCACTGATCCAGAAACTGATGTCTTTGTAACAAGGAGGATACTGCAAAACAAGATTTTGTTTACTGCCATCGAAACTTACAGGACAAATGAGTTACGTAACTTACTGATCGGAGCTCCTGAACTCAAAGTCCATTCCGATCACTACTCCGATCAGCAGGAGCAGGCCGCCGCCGCTTCCTCGTGTCTTTAGCATCGAAAAAGTTTAGCTTTGATTAACTAGGGGTAGGATGGTATTTTTCCTATTAAAATTTTAAAAGTAAAAGTGGTTAGTGTAAAGTTAAAAATGTGTACCTGGAAAATGATATTATTAGCAAATTCCCAACATGTATCTTAATATTCAAATAAGTTAATAAATAATATGTGTAATAAAATAAATAATAATTAAATATACAAATATAAAATGTATACTGTTAAGTTTTTATTATTTTCAAATATTTTTATAAGTAAATATTCAAAATAAGAAATAAATAATAAGTAATAAATAATAGAAATATATTATTTATCATAATATTATAATTTGATATAAATAAAAATTCGAAAATTAAATATACAACATAGTAAAGGAAAACTACATCAACCACCTATCTGAAAAATGTATATACAATTTTAAATATAAAAATATTACATTAAGCATCTACCATAATATTACCATTACATATAAAAGCAATAAAATTAGAATAAGTAAATATTTAATATAAGAAGCAATAAATAATAAGTAAATATAAGAAATAAAAAAGTACATTAAACATCTATGTGAATACACTTTTACTTTTTTTTTATTATTTCCAAATGATTTATAATTAAAAAATACAATATAAGTAATAGAAATATTACAGTAAACATTTATCTAATATTATCATTTGATATACCAACAAAAAAAATTAGAAAAAGAAAATATAGTAAATATAAAATATAAGAAAGGGAAAACTAAATTAAACATCAAACTAAAATGTATAGTAAATAAGTAATCAATTAATAAAAATATAAAATACAAATATTACATTGAAAATCTATCGTAATATTATCATTCAATATAAAATAAACAATAACTAAAATATACAATATAATAAACAATATAAATACTACATGAAAAAATTATCGTAATATTAGGATAAGAAAATAAAAAATAAAAAAATAGTAAATACAATAAACAATAAAAAAAATAGAAAACTACTTTAATCATCTAACTGAAATATCTATAGTAAAATTAATAATAAGTAATTATACAATATAAGAAATATAAATATTACATTAAATGTATGAATAAAAAAATAAATATATAATATAAGAAATAGAAATATTACATTAAACATATAATAATATTAAAATAAATTAATAAATAAAATATATATCAAGATAAATAATAAGTAAATATACAGTAGGCAAAATATAAATACTATACTAAACATATATCCTAATATTAGAATAAGTAATTTTAAAATATAAGTAATAACATTATTATATTAAACATCTATCGTTATATTAAAGTAACTAAATATACAGAATAAAAATAAGTAAATCTAAAATATAGGAAAAATGAATATTAAAATAAATAAAAAGTAAATATACAATTTTAAATATAGAAATATTATACTAAGAATCTGTCGTAATATTACTATTAGATATAAAAGAAAACAAAATTAAAATAAGTAAATATTTCATATATAGAACAACAAATAATAGGTAAATATACAATAGAATAAATGAAAACTACATTAAACATCTATCTGAAAATGTATATTTTTTTCACTTTTATTATTTTCAAATATTATTATAAGTAAATATACAAAAAAAAAAATAAGTAATGAAAAACATAAGAAGTAGAAATATTATGCTAAATATTTATCATAATATTATCATTTGATATAACAAGAAAAATAGAATAAGTAAATATTCAATATAAGAAATAATAAATAAGTAAATATAAATTATAAGAAATGAAAAATCTAAATTAAACATCTATCTGAAAATGTATAGTAAGAAAAAGATAATTAGTAAATATGAAATATAAAATAGAAATATTACATTAAACTTCTATCATAATATT